AAAACAAGCAGCCATAAACACAGTGACCATACTCAGTAAAGGTTCGGAGATACGGTATTCATACACAACACATAGGACCACATAACACACACAAAATACCCAGGAAACGCAAAACATGCAACAGTCTCACGACCCACAACCACAGGGCTCGCAACAATCGCCAAACACAACGCAATCGCCAAACACAACTCAATCCCCAGACACACCAGACCCACTCAACATAATTCATACACTGGACACAACAGATATTAAGCATACGACGGGTAAGAGGAAGAGAAGGGAGAAGGGCCGCAAATAACACGCACCACGCGACAGACACACCCTAGTTAGGTGCCTCTCATAGAATGAAACTGTACATCAAAAATTAAATTACAATATATTTATTCATACACACCATTCATACCTAACTTAATCAATTTTGAGGTTATCGGCAGATGGATGTTCTTTTTCCCGTGGGTTACGACACTAAGTATTTATAAAACCGACAAAAGTCGAGATTTTGAAACCAACACATAGATATAATATTATATTTTGTATAATATATATTATACCAAAATCATATAGAAATATAGATGCGTCATAGAATCGGTGAAAGTACTAATAGATTCTCTAAGCCGATTTGCCATTACCATTGCAAGATCCTCGGTTCTAGGATCTTGAAATGGTAATCGCATGGGCTTAAACCTCTTATTGCAAACACAGAAGAGACTGTTGTTAAAAACTTATTCGATTATAACTATAACCTTGGCCCTTATTTGTACTGGTATATATTTCATTTCTTACGTAAGTTTTTTACATTTCAACTCGACAGTTATGATCGATTAGCTGTCACCCAATACCTCAGTTACAGTTATATTTTGACTTGAGTAAAGTCCTTTAAAATAGCGTGTGGAGTTTTATTTTTAACATTATACCTAAAGTTGAAAATATATCAGAAAATCGATAATATTAAAACACAATATGTTCAGATAAGATCGATAAGAATAATATATAATTCTGATACAACAATGTAATGTGATGCATCCATTTGTGAACAATTGTCAATATGGAAACACATTGGAAGTTAATAAAATTAGTAAGACGTGCGGCCAGTTTACAAAAAGTCAATTATGACTCCATCCCAAAAAACATAGAACACACTGGAATCTGGTGTCAAAATCAACATATTTTTATCGATAGTTATTTTATGACTCGCCCGCATTTAGTTATATTAAAGACTAGCCATTCCCCTCAGTTGCATCTACATTTACGGTTACTATTCTTCTCCTAAGGGGCCGTAGCGTGATGTAGCATGGCGCAACCTTCCTCAAAAATTCTATATTAATTACAAAAAGATTCAAATGTGTCAGAGATAACCGAGCGATTTCGGAGAAATCGATTAAGTTCAGAGATAACCGTGTTTATACAACCAAACAATTGTCAGGTAATATTTTTGTTCATTCGACATCTTACTTTTAAGAAGGCAACGTAAGTTACCACAGTGAATGTAGTTTATGTATGCGATGCACACATTCGAGCATATCTACTGTTACCGAATAGTTATTAACGATTACTTCCGTACAGAACAATCGAGCATTGAAACGCTTAAATAAATAATAAATTTCGCAACTACAAAATTCAGCTCATTATATCTTTCATCCAGAAAAAAAGTTCTATCTAGTAGAATCTAGTAATGTATTAAGATGACATATGAATAGAAGATATGTACTTTATTGCAATAAAAATACAGCAACAATCCATTTATTCCAATGACGGCGTGGACGTCAATTTACTGCTATTGTATGCTCGTAAAGTTAAAATAAATATAATTATATAGTAAAAAATAATATTTGAAAAAAGCGTTGGGTGCCTGTTGTCAATAGTAAAAAGCAAGCCACGCTTTTTTTCAAATTTATTAAAATTTATTTTCTATTTTTTAGTTTGCTTTTCTATAAAAAGCGTGGTTTTTAGTTTTTTTAAACCATTTTTTTTTATTATTATTAATTATATTAATATATTAAATTAGTGTATTTTCATCGGTCCTCGATATATCTACAAAGTTTGAACGAATTCTGACCGTTTAAAGTCGGTAAAAAAACGCCCAAAGGAGTCGGTTACAAACAAACATACAAGTGAAGCTAATATAAAGCGTCTAATAATCAAAAAATATGTCTATTTTTTCACCAATATTGTATTATAACATTTTAAAGCGATGTACTAAAACCGTACATTTATTGATGACTTTTCGATCTACATATTATATGAACTATTACATAGTTTAAAATATTTTCATTCAGTAAACGTGAGCTAAAATGTACTTAACATTATATCCCTGTAACTACATAACGTATAGTTCAATGGCGCTCGTGCAACCTAGTTCCTGAAGCGTTTAACGTAACTCCTTACATAAACCATACTTACGCCCCCGGGGAGCGTATACGACTAAGATTCCCACCTCCAAGAGGGTACATGCAACAAAATGTCAGCTAAACCCCTTTTCAGTTCCATTAACATCGGTCAATATTTAAAGCGCCTTTCAACCTTTATGAACTGAAACGTGACAGACTTTAAATTGAGTTTTGTCGGCCTGCCGGTGAATATTTTAAGTCGTTACACAGTAAAAACCTACATGGAGGGAGAGTCCGTTTGAAACAGGTTGGTAGGCAAATCCGACTTGAACCATACATTGTATAAAGAGTAGTAATGAATATTCATTGTGACAAAGAATAGTACGGGTTGGAACTGCGATGAGGACAAATGGCAAGGCAGATGCGACAAGAATGATTCAAGTGCAATAATGGCGCGCTTATCTCTCTCTGCTAGGGGCCATTGGACACACTGCCGTAAAATCGTTAATTCACGAAGTTACGTAACGCACTTTATTAATTAATGATATTTTCTTGATGGCAATCAGTTAAGTGCGTTAAAATTATTAAATAATTGTATTAATAAGTAAGTAAATGCTTGAAATCCATTTTAAAAAGATTACATTAAAGATCAAACACGGATATTAAAGTGATAACCGAGTGGGTTAACACATTGCAAAGTTAAGCAATCTTAGCCAGGTCGGTCTGTGGATTAGCCATTTTTAAGACATTGAGACCTACGTGCCGCGGAGAGCACGTCAAGCCGTCGCTCGGTCCCAGTTGTCATACGAACATCTGTGACAATCTTTACGGGTAGTTAAAGCCCTAAAAAGTCTGACAATAGTCTTTCTACAGAACTTCGATTTGGAGGAAGATTAAAGTATAGTATAAAGTTGGCATTGTAGGAGTGTCTTAAATGCAGTACAGTTAATGTAAGTGCTAGATGTTTAAATTTTAAATATGTTTGTGTTTTAAACCGTGAGAGTGTACAATGTTGAGTATGGTCGTATAGCGCGGCTCTAAGTTACAGTGAACGTGAAAAGGACCTAAGGGAATAATACTGCTATCAATTTCAAAATACCATAAAGTTTGGATTAATGGCCTTGCTTGTGATTTGAAATGATGTTACAATGCATTGGGAGTATTTGTAACTCATTGCATGACAATGTCAGAAAGGTTTTATTTGATAAATGTCTCAGATTAGATTACCATAGTGAATAAAAAATGCATTTTTACTTCAATTTTGCAGACACGGACACGATAAACATTACGACGAGTATAACTCAATATCGTAGTCAAAAGATGAAAGTTTTCTTTATTTTATTAAGACACGATAATATTCAATTGTAGCTGAATGAGATCCATGATTAATTATTTTCAAGCTTAAGTTTATAAATAAAGTGTATATATACATGGTCGTGTTTTTGTTTTAAAATTAGTAGTACTTGTAGGACCCACGCTTATAACATTATGGTTTCAGGTAGGTATAAGGTAACTGCGTTGTAAATTTACTAGCCAAGGCGGAGCAACATCAGTTTAATAATCGATGCCACGAGTGCGGTCTATCGTTACTTAGCATGGCAAGCCTACTGAATACCAATACCTATGCATTAAGCCATTCAAGCGTCATCAAATTAAAAGTGAAACCTCATAAATGCTTGAACCCTTTCGTATAATGTTTATTTAAAAGAATGTGTAGAATTAGGTTTTATTTTTTTAATAATGAGATTAGATACTTACTTTATGCATTTAAGACATATTAAACAACAAACCTTGACAAATTATTTTGGAGATCAGACAAATTTTTAACAAATCGATAGAATTGCTAAACATTAAACAAAGTAATCCGTTAGGAATATATTTTCCTAGAATTCTAGCCATTAACCAAAATGGATTTGTGAGAAGGGATACAGTTGAAATAATGTGATTGTATTTGCAGATTTTCTTATGAAATAGTGTTTATTTTATGTGCTTTTGATCCTTAGTGTGGGGAGGTAAAGTAGCAAACAAAAATAATGTATATCGTTCAATTACAATACTTCTGAACGTTAAGGTATTAGTGAGTTCACGTAAATAAAGGAATAATGCAATTATAAGTATTTTTATTTGCCCATGAAACAATACAGAAACTTTTTCATTTATGTATATTTTCTAAGAAACTAACCACAATATTTGAACCAGTTGTTTTAGTTAGTATTGTATTCATGTCCGACAGTTCTCCTATTGTGTTTTGTGATTTTAATTTAATACAGAGCTATTTAAAATAAATTAGACATTTTCAAATGTTTGTTGCCATATTAATTAAGGTATCAAATACGAAAAACGTTAGACATATTAATTTAATCCTCTTATATGTTTGCCTTATCGTTCAGAGATATAAACACAATACCATTTACTGTAACTCAGTAGAGAACTTATTTTTTCAACGATACAAATGTGGGTCTTAAGTCGACGAAAATAGACAGAATGTTTCGATACTCAAATAAGTTACAGTTAAGATAAATACAGATTCTTTTATAAGGTTTACACTAACTTGTGTGTAAGGTATAAACTCAATTGTGCTTTGGGGCGATATATAGATTGGACTTATATCGCAAGCACACAGTAAGTTATTTTACTCTCTAAAATTATCATCAATCATCCTCAAACACTAACCTTTTGATACTCCGTCAGTCCAAAGTATGCCATGGCAGCTAGATTCCTCTTAGCGGATGCTAGCATTACTCTGTCGGTCTCTGCAGTCCTGTGCCTTAGAGTTCCGTTGTAACATCCCACGAGTGCGAGGTCAGCCAACATGCGAGTCTGCCTATTGTTTGCCAGATTCCATGGACAGGCCATGAACTCTTCGAGGGTTACGCCCCGCCAGGAGTCACCGTTATAGCATGGAGGGACCTCTGCACCTGCGTAAAATATATAAAAAACTTAGTTTCATACAATTAATTTACTTTGTGATCACCACAGTCTTTTAACAAATATGTAAACCAATTACGAAATATGTATTTGACTAGATCTTGTAATTGACTGGATCATAACACACTTCAGTTTGATTTAAACAGACTGGTAGAGGCGTCCTCTAATCTAGGCTAGGGCTCATTACTCCTAGTCTTGCGAAAGGGCTAACAAGATTTTTATCTGTTGATTATGAACTTTCAGAGTGAAAGCACTTTGTGCCGGCACATTTTACATTTTGCTGTATCCAGAGCGGTAATTTCTTAATGTTTTCATAAGGCTTTTGTATAAGAGATGTTTTTGACGCGGGCTGCTAGATAATAAGAGGAAAAATTATACTTTTTCGTAATTAGAGTATCTACATAGTTATTATTTAGTTGTATAGTGCATATTTCATTGTTTTTAAATTATTGAATGAGGGAATACTTAAGCCCAAAACTAAAATAGTCTTGATGAAATACCCATCATGATGTTTCAAATATTAATAATACTCTTTCCGTCCGTCATTGCGATGCTAATTGACAGTTTTTTACGGCATGTGCCGCTGAAGTGTTCATGTTTTTAGCAACATTTGATTCGTTACGGAACGGTAAAGTTAAAATTCTACTGTTTACAGAAAAGGTTATTTTTAATAGGGTTCGCACGGGTTGTACGTACACCCTTTTAAATATTGCTTAAGATATAGCCCCAATAAGCCATCCCAATGTATTTTTCGACGCTTTAGTTGGAAAATATATCTTTTATACTCATATAAAAACTTAAGTTGTTTGAAAAAATATCTAAACTGATGGTGAAAATCGCATATAAATTATTTACATGGTTTAGAAGGAGTTACGGGTATAAACAGACACACAAAGCCGCTTGGCTTTATACTATGTAAAGAGAATCGTATTATTATGAAGAGTATACTATTCCTTCATGAGATATGATGACAATCATCACGGGTAGCCATTTACTTCATGACTTCCACCGTTGTTACTTTCGTTTCACTGACTAGCTGAGACTGACTAATAAGGCCTCATTGCGGGCCCTATTACTTTTGTAATGACATTAAATCCTATAAGAAATCGATTGGTTCCTCTTTTTGCCATAGAAAGCCAACATTACTGTACACGTACAATGGTAGTAAAGTAGTAATAATAGTAGTAGTAAAGATATGGAATCATAAAACATTATCGCTTAGACGAGATACTCATTGTTTATGGTTAATGGTCTAGTCTTGAGAGCAATTAAACCAAACTACAACAGCTTAACATATAAAGTTAGTTAATTTTGCATTACTGCCGTATTCACAAACGCTCACATGAGATATCAAAGATGGCTGCTAACAGCTGGTTGCAGTTAACTTTCAGTTACTTTATGATACTACAATAGCAATATTATCATGGCGTTAAGCTTTCAAGACGGATGTGTTATTGAAGTTATTACATTATTGGGATTGACATAAAGATGTTTATTCAATTGCAGTAAATTGATATGAACTGGTCTTCGGATAAAGCTATTTTGATCTCAGGGTTTACTATGTATTGGGTACGTATGTTTTTATTAAGATACTATCTGACCCAAGCAACGTCGTCTGCGTCTCTCAAAAGAAATAATGTTAACTACCCTCGCCCATTAACATCGCACGTCAATGGGCGATGTAGCAGAACAAGATTTTTTTATCTAAAATCAGAATATTTTAAACAATAGACGAAATGAAATGAACATTAAAAATAATATATGCTCAAATATGAAAGGAATTACAGGAGGACACGCTAGTTACTTGCTTATTTAAAAAAACTATAACTACACAATGAAACTTCAAAGGAGGTTTCAGTACAACTTCGCTGAAAACGAGTAGATCATGAAAAAGTTGTGTCATAAAAATCTTTCAACAGCAGCAAACTGCTTGAAGAAACCTTGCTTATGATACATTACTAGAAAAAACTTTTACCAAACGCAATATTTATTTAATCATAGACTGATGTTTCCAATTTTCCATAAAGGGTAATGGTTAAATAGGGTAATCAACCAAAACAAAGTTTGTAAATATAAGAAAGTAATACAATATGAAAATACACAAGATATCTTGACGGTTTGTTGTATGTATAATAACAACGCTTAATACAGGCCGTGTATGAGATGTTTATAAAAAACAGTTGAACAACAACAATATCTTATTAACGTATGCGACTGCTGTGCTGAGGTTTCGGGTTCGACTCCCGGGTCGGACCAAATGTTTGTATGATCTGCAGATATTAGTATCGGAGTTTGGGAGTTTTCCATGTATAATATGTATGTATTTACAAAAAAAAACAATATAAGTATTCTATCAGTCAATCTAGCTTTCATTGAACAACTGCTTAGTTTGCAACTAGATGGCGTTGTGTGTTAGATGTCCAAAAATATTATTAGAAAATATATTATTCTATTAAATTAACATTTTAAATAGAACATAAAATTATTTATAGTTTTATATAGTATCTGCCTTTTAATCTTTATATTATTTCCTTCTTGTTCCTTCGATTTCTTTATGGTATAAGGGGCAAACGTGCTACTATTGCCACGGACTAGACATTGAAATCATTGCTACTTTTAAATCATATTCATCTGATAAAATGATGGGCTTTAGTCGCAGCGATTTTACATGTGATTGTGATTTCGTCATAGACAAAGATAAGTGGCATTAAAATCAATCACTTTTTTTTTTTATTAATCCTTTTTTTTAGATTTAGACCTTTCGCGAGTCTTGCGCTAGCGTAATAATAATAATTTAGTAGCAGTGGTTTTGTGTATCAGTCACAAGTATGATATAATGAATTTTAATCATATTATTTATCACATGTGATTGTGATTTTATTCCATCCATAAACACCTGCAACTCAAGCTTTACTACTCTTTGAGTCCCCCCCACCCTTACAGTCAGGGGTTTGAGTTTCGGTAAACTTACTCGGTGAAAAACAACGAAACAATTGCTAGAAATGAATTTAAAAAAAATATGCGATAGTGGCATAAAGTAAAAATAAAAGCGACTTATGGTATGTCCACGTAGAATTAGTGTAGCTACCAATCATTAAAGTTATATAAAGTTATTTCATGATCATTGGTTTTAAAACACCTCAATTGTAAAACCCTTGCGAGCGTGTGTTACGACCCCAATCCTTTTTGCCTAGAATGTTTATTTATAGAACATAACCCAAGTAGGTGGTATCGAAGTTCTGTAGAAATACTGTTGTCGTACTTATTAGGGCTGCAACTACCCATAACTATTGCCACAGATGTTCGTATGATAACGGGGACCGAAGGCTTAACGCGATCTCCGAAGCACAGAGGGGGTCTAAATGTGTTAAGAAAATGGTCAACCATCCATAGACTGACCTAGCTAGGATTGCTTAACTTTGCAACGTGTTAACTTACCACGAGCCACGAGCCTCTCTATATATAGTCCGTAAATAATTATGTATGTGTATTATTACAAAAATACATTTAGAATTATATAATTTATTATTTTGAGATTTATTTCCAGACTGTATATTTCTAAGATTAGACAGTTGTGGCCAAGCTATTTCTGTCAATGGAAGAATATATAAGCGGTTGAAAACACATACCTGCACGCAACAAGATACAACAAGATACTTGCGATTCGGTCTTGTAATTAATGTTAATGTTCAAAGTCGATGATTTAATTCTTTGAGAATCGATCAGAGTCACGCTATTTACTTTCACTGTGATGTTTAAATTGTATCGCTATTATTTAAGGGGTATAAGATTTACTTAAGACTAAGTAACATAACAATTGGAAAAAATTAATGGTTTTTGTGAACGTGAGAACAATAAACTAGTTGATCTCTAGTACAGTGTAAATTCTTACAATAATTGGTATTTTGGGTAGCGGTTTGCTAGGCATTATCACATAACCTAGATAAAGTTTTTTTTTGTGTAGGAGGAACACATTCGCATCTTTTTAATAGTTCCTCATCGAGAGATTGCTAACAGTGCGTGAAGATAAGGAAAATGTTATTAAGTTTTACTGCACTTTACCATGCAATGCTATTACTTGCAATGTTCCCTTAAGGCCTGTCAAATATAGCACGCTTCCTAACCGTTGATTATTACTATAGTAAAGTTTCACAAGCGAAGCAGTGTACATTTTAAGTTATCTTTGCGCACCAGAGTGAGCGGGCAAGTTGCCGAGCCCAAAGAACTCCAATGCAATATTAACAGGAACCATTTTCAAACACCTAACTGAAATGAAATGTTTTTTATTCAGAATTCAAAATTCAGAATTTTTTCTTTTTTTGAAAGATTTTTTTATATGGCTTGTTTTAACTACAACATTTACAGCCTGTTTGACATTAATTTTTATGTCAAATATTCAGTCGTTAAGTTTAGCCTCGTCTAACAATATTATTTATAAAATACCGAGATAAAGCAACTAACTCTCATTTTTTTAGACTTCAAAAAAAGCAGGCTCTTAATTCGTTTTTTTTTAATGTTTATTATCTCAGAACTTTCATCATCAACTCAGAACCGCCATTTATAAATTGATTTCAAATTTTTTTTACTCCTGTCAGTCTTATTGAAGTTTGTTAGTCGATGTGGTAGTACTGTCAGTGAAAATTAAGGAATAAAGAATACAGTTTATTATTACACGGGTGCATTGAAATCGGCAATACTTTTAAGTTTAAGTTTTTCAGAATTATAAATATCAATCTACAAAATACAACAAAAAATATAACACCTTCAGAATGTTCCATTATTCTTTTATAAGTAAGTAAGTACACACAGTAATTAGTAGTACACACAAAGAACTAGTCCATACATCATTCTAACTGCATTATATTAACGATTCACCCAATAATTAAGACAATGCCAGAACACAGTAGCAATGTCATCAAGATAAAATAGATTTAGAGTAGTTAATGCCTAAGCTACGAGTATATATATATTATGCTGTGTCATAACACGTTGAATTTAGTGCCGTACCTACGAGTATGCATATAAACCGGTGTAATTTATAAACCAGTACATAACAATGCTATTCAACAGTCTGTGCATTTAAATTGTTTTTGTTAAAATTAACTTTGCTAATAACATTGCATTACAGTGGCTAGGGCCTTCTTCATGGCATTTCAAGGTTCTGCTGTATTTCTCCTTCACGAGAAATAAAATAGCCCAAAGAACAAAACCATAGAAAAATAATTACCATATTCCTAGTATTCAATAATATTGTATCATCAATTTAATTGTTAATTATGAACATGAGTTAGGTCACCGATCTTATATTTATTATCAACAATATTTCCACTTCTGGGCCTAAATTATTAGTAAAGTTATCCGGATGCATAAAGTTATGCCGTTGCATAAAGTTTTGCCGACACATAAAGTTATGCGAATGCATACAGATATGCCGATGCATAAAATTGTACCGATACATTAAGTTATGCCGATGCATAAAGTTATAGAGGTATTGTGATATATTTGATATAGAAGTATTGTCTTTGACAAAAGAACCCTAAAAAAGTTCAGAATTAAAAATTAAATGAATTTTGGTCGAATTTCTAGCACTGGAAGACCACTAGATTATATATCTGGTTTCAAAATCACATGAACTCACCTGTAGCTGTTCGCCCTTGACACCAATGCCGTGATCCTTTCCACGTGGCACCTCGTTTCACGTGCCTGTACTCCGATAAGTACCTGTAACATCGATAAAAAAAATAAAAAAAAGACAACAACGTAGCTTAGACGAGTACAAAAATCCACTTGAACTACATAAATGCCTATTTGTGAATGTACTGTAGCACTTTATATGGAAACTTGTTACCATTTTTATGGCTCGTTCATCTCAAATTCAAAGTTAGTAGATATAGTAACACTATTTTATTCAAATTAATGTAACCATCTCATCGTTATTGTTATCTAAATCGTTGTGTTGAATTACTACACCGTGGTATGATTTAAATTGTTAATGTGGGATTTGAGTGAATATAATATGGTATTTAAAAATATCATTTTATATCTTGGCAGTTTAGTATATTGTTTAGTACTAGCTGATAATGTAGCTAATCTTTGGTGAGCTCGGGGTAAAATCGGGGCTTTAGGCGTGAAAGAGTAACAAAGAAACAAACAAACTCACTTCCACATTTATAATTTACATAGGTATGTATGGATGTGTACGAGGTTTGTGTATAGCAGAAGCTCAAGTTTGGTGAACATTTCTAATAATATACAACCATTCTGCCCCCGATAGTTAAAAACACAACAAGTCAAAATGGAGAAAAAATATGTTAATAAATTTAATAAGACATCATTCGCTGTCTTTAAGTAAATTAAAATAATTAAATATTAAAAATTGGAATTTGTAGGCATGATAATAGTCTTTGACACCTCGTAATAAAAATATAAATATTTTTATTACGTGGTGTCATTTTAGTAAATAAATGTAAAAAAATACTACTTTCTTAATTGAATAGACGCAAATAGCCAGACGCGTCTTTTAATCTCAAACGATTTTTGGAGTACTTTTAGTCTAAATATTTGAGTGAAGATCTGTACTTTATGTTATAAGAAAAAAAGGTGCATTTAGTTATGTGCGCCTTCATTAGTTTTGAATACTTAATTCAAAACTATGAAGATAATCCTAGCCTAAAATACATACAATTATCTTTTAATTGTTTACTGACTCATTAACCTGAAAATAGATTTACTTGCTGTATATTTTCCGTTTAAAGCCTCTAATGATTACACTAAGCAATAAAATAGATTTATAGTACCTTCGATAGTTTTCTTCCAAAGTGTCAAGAATAACTTTAAGAAGTAGATAGGGCGCAAGTGGCAGATATAGACGTTTCTTCTTAGTGTGAGAGCTTCTGTGTGTGAGTTTTCTTAGTGTTTTCAATTAGTGCATTAGGCGTAAATGGTTACATCAGCCTTATTAATTTCGTCTTAGAAATACCGTTTAATATGTGCCTTCTAGATTAACGAACTTTAAAAAAACAACGTAAGGAATAAGGACGTATTTATGTAAATGTGACTATTCATTTAAGTTTCAGATGAATTCTCGTCTATTCAACTTCAATAAGGTGTAAAAAGATTTTTGTTGTGCTAAAATTGCAATGAAGCAAGGCAGAAAAGTATTAAAAATATAGACAGATGCGCCTTTTTTTCCCGATTCCGGGAATATATATAGGTACCTAACTCTTTTTCGGTAAAAAAATAGATGCGTTTTTTTTTTAACTATCGCGGGCATCATTGTATAAACAATGTTTAACGGAAGACAGAGAAGGCCAAAGTTGAGGGGAGAGGGGGCCAAATATGATGGGGACCGTAAAGGGCCTGGTGTTTCTAGAGTTGTAGGTATCCATGGGCTGCGGTAGTCACTAACCAAAAATAATATATATTTAAATTTCACTTGAATTTTGATACTGACAGCGGGGAGGCCTGCTATCCAATATGTCGCTAGTAGCTCTCAAAATTTTAGCTTTGGTAAGATGACATAGGTCTGGCAGCTCTTAGATTATTTAATAAATCAATGTCAAGAAACCTGACCTGTCAGAGATCACTTATATTTCTCACGCAGTTACGGAGTACTATGGATTATAGGAAACAGTTGTTGATATTGCGTATAAAGCCACAGGCATAAAAAAGATTAAAGACAGTTTCAACAAAATTTCGAATTTTACACGATCAAAAAAATTATATTAATACCAAATTAGTTAATTAATAATTAATTATTAATTAACTTATAATTATTATTATTAATTAATTAATTATTAATTATTTAGTAAGAAATGTCTATAGTAGTTCTAGTTATACTGATCAACGCATGGTCTACGCTTAAATTTGACTGCTAGTCTACTTCTATTTCGTGTGGTGACCGTTTAAGAATAAAGTGTTATCACCCGTATTCATCCCGTGGGTGTCCTAAGAGTCGACGGAGAAGAGGGAGCTAACTACGCACGACAACAGCACTGCAAATAGGTAGAAGGCAAACTTGTAACAAATCCTATACCAGCCCGCCTGGACAGCGTGGTATATTAGGCCAAAACTCCTGTCTAAGGAGAGGCTTATGTCTAGCAGTAGACTATTAATTGCTGTGGATGTTGATGATACGGTGTTTATTGTGAATAGCAGGTCACAAAATCGCTTAAAAATTAACTGTAAGACTAAGCACATGCCACCAATTTCATACGAGAAAAATATAATAAACGTTTTATATTTCCAACACATAGTTTGTTGGAAATGCTTACTGAGGAGAAAATATTGACAAGGGTTGGTGACAGTTTCCGAATACGGTATTAGCCGGAGATAGCTAAAATGACGCCATGCCAGATAACCAACGTTTAATGGCGTGTAAAAGTCCCTTTTAGCTTTACGTCTATGTCAATAATGGGCAACGCTTCAGTTATTTAATTGCAGGATATGATTTCTAAATCTTTTTTTTTCTTTGTAAGACCATGTTTTGAAAAATGACAATGAATAGATCGTATTTTTAAATTTTTCTAAACTATTGTGGTAAAAAAAGTGATATAATGAGCTATTTGTTATTTATTTGATTCACCAGCAGTTATTACAATAATACATTTCTAGAGATAAAAGCTTTGTGATCGACTTCTTTTTTGAATTTCATTGTAAAAATATTTTAATAAATTGTTTATTCGGGATTGATCAAATTAGAATTTGTGATTTCCTCTCCCCATCTAAAGAATCTTAACAGCTCTGTTGCCCAGGGTATAGATCTTTTTTTCCTTTTTTATGTGAGGCAAACCTCACGAGGCTGCGATTATATTATTTAGAAGTTATAGGCAATGATGAACAACTACGCTGTTGCTTTGCGATCGCTGTGGCTCATGCCTTGTTCCTACTGATCTTAATTAATGTCATAGTAGAAATATTGGGTGTTACAGAAATGTGTTGCCAACTTTTATGATTGCTATGTGTAGCCGACGAAAAATATTGAGAAAAGCCCTATGGACAGAGCTGGTTGTGATTTTAACCAGCAGTAAGTATAAAGACCCTTTAAATTTGAAACGTACCCAACGTTATTCGAAAGGAAACTTATAGTTCTTCGTATTCTGAGCTTTATACAAGCTTCAATGTTTATTATACAACTACAAACATAGAAGAAAAGTAACAAATTTATTTGAAAAAAAAGCATGAAACGAGAATAGAAGAAAACATATGAATGTGTGCATACAAGAATAGACAGAACTCACAACAACTTCCGTCTTTTAAAACAAAAATCACACTGGAATGATGGATGTTTGAAACGAAGAAACCGAAATATTACAAGAGAATGTTCGTTTTCTACTACTATTACAAATCGAAATCTTTACACAAATGACTGCATGGATGGCGTAGTGATTTAAGTGGTTGCCACGGCCGCTTTCCAACTGTGCTGAGTGTTAGGGGTTCGATCCCCACATGGGACAACAAAATTTTGTGTGATCCAAAAAATGTTGTTCTGAGTCTGTGTTTTCTTTGCGTCCGTTTTATGTATGTCTGTAAAGTACCACATGACACAGGATATATTCCTAATGCGAGATATATTTTTAAAATTAAATTAAATTAATTTATTTCTCTAGTTTCTTGAGCAATTATAAAAACCGGGTCCTCAGTGCTTTCACATAGACATTTCAATAACTTTTAAGCAAAAAAAGTCCTACATCCAGCAGCTAAAGTACGTTACTTTAATACTTCAACATAAGCTGATCAAATATAATAGTAACTGAGCGAGCTAGGTGAAATATAACTTGCAGGCTTAAGCCGAGCTGCACACTGAACCAATTTAAGACTACGGTCAACAGTAAAGCAGTTATAATCATGGGATCAAGCACACTTTAGATCTATTAATAGTTTAAACTTGTTTATAAATCTTTCTTAACTTGATTTATAAGAAAAAATATGATTATAAGCTGTTTCCTTTCGTTCAAGTGTGAAGATACAAGAGTAAGTTAGTTATTTTGTAGATTCGCATTTAGCTTTTGGGTTTTTTTATAATAGGTCTTTACCTATGAAATTGCCGTTTTGTATGCAATAAGTGAAAGTACTTATTTTTTCAAACTTTTTTATTTCTGTTATTCGAAGTAATCACCCATGCAAATGACGCATCTTTGCCAACGCATTGGCAGATTATTGATGCCCTTCTTGTAAAAATTAGCTGGACGGCAGGCAACAAACTCTTCAAAGGCATTTTGTACTGCCTTTCGGGAATTGAATTTTTTACCCACTAAAAAGTTGTCTAAATTTTGGAAAAAGTAATAGTCGGTAGGTGCAAGGTCTGGTGGTCACATCTGCAACCAGCTTTGGTCAATCGGTCGTCCCCACTCGGCTCCTTCACGACAACGCGCGACCCCATACTGCGCAACAGACAGTCTCCAAGCTGCAAGAGCTGGGGTTGGAAGCTCTCCCTCATCCGCCATACTCACCATACATACCAAAGGAAAAGTTAATTCAACTTTTTATCGGCTACAATAACAGTCGTAAAATTAGACCACACATGTAGTATGTAACCCGTGTATATATTATTTTATTGACCTAAAAATATACTACTTTTTAACTAAAGTTCAGCGGAAAGTTTAAGTAACTGTTCAAAGGTTATGGGAAATTTAAATAAAGAAGTTTGCAAAAAGCCAAATAACTAAGTCTTATTAATTTAAAAAATATGTGAAAGCAGCCACAAAAATGTACTGGTTTTAGTATAAATAATATATCTTGACCTATTACGGTACGGAAAGTCTATTTAATGACAGTTTAAGTTATACTAGTCAAGGATAGATAACAGAAATTTTAAAAGTGATAAATAGTGTTCGAAATTTACCCACCACGTGGTAGTTAGGTTGTTATTAGGAGCTGGAAATATATAGAATGAAAATTGATATAAATTATACATCTATTTCTGTGCAACAAAACACCCATAATTTGAAACGTAGGCGAACAACTTAAAACTTGCATGTTTATGGCAACCTATCACTAAGTTGTCATTTATTTTACAGTGGTTTTATTGATTTTAATTTCCTCTCTCAATCCGTGTCATTTGTTTTAATGAGAGCTAGGTTATTGGATATTCTTTTATATTACGTATGGAAAAAATCGCCTTGCCAGCGTGGTATATTAGGCCAAAACTCCTGTCTAAGGAGAGCCTTATGTCTAGCAGTAGACTGTTAAGGACAGAGTTTGTTGATGATAATGATACTGTGTTTATTGTGAATAGAAGGCCACTCGGGAATTGAATTTTTTACCCACTAAGCATTAATGCAGATGTGTACTGTGAAGAACTGGAGAGAATGATGGAGAAGCTTGCACATCTGCAACCAGCTTTGGTCAATCGGTCGTCCCCACTGCTCCTTCACGACAACGCGCGACCCCATACTGTGCAACAGACAGTCTCCAAGCTGCAAGAGCTGGGGTTGGAAGCTCTCCCTCATCCGCCATACTCACCAGACCTTGCACCTACCGACTATTACTTTTTCCAAAATTTAGACAACTTTTTAGTGGGTAAAAAATTCAATTCCCGAGAGGCAGTACAAAATGCCTTTGAAGAGTTTGTTGCCTCCCGTCCAGCTGATTTTTACAAGAAGGGCATCAATAAACTGCCAATGCGTTGGCAAAGATGCGTCGATTGCATGGGTGATTACTTCGAAAAACAGAAATAAAAAAGTTTGAAAAAATAAGTACTTTCACTTATTGCATACAAAACGGCAATTTCATAGGTAAAGACCTAATATAAGCGTTTAAGAAGTTTTTTTCTTACACTTCTGGTAAATATGGCAGGAGGCATGGCATTTTAGCGGTCACGAAGAAATGCTTTATATTACTGATGAAAATTGTCTAATGCTATCAAATAATAGCTATATAGCATAAGAGTAATACCTGCGGGTACGTTATCGTTTCGTCGGTAAAACAAATTGAAGTTTAGTTATAATGCTCGTTTAAAAGAAAAACACATACTAAAAACTTAACCTAAACGTTTGTACTATTTTTGGCAATCCCTGTGACTCACCTGGATACGGGTTCCCTAAGTAACGTTATGTAGAAATATCGCCGGTGGACCGCCGAGCCTTCGTGTCTGTCAAGTTCCCCACCAACGCAAGCCGTCAACTCCGTGAAGTCCGCGTGCAAACCACATCTGAAACAAATTTTACAGGTTATACTCGTATTACCGATTAAATATTTACCCAGCGATAAAATAAGACAACGTAATAAGTTATTACTTTAAAATAAATGTAAAACAATAAAAACATTTTTATTACTAATAACAATGTTTTTATTGTAATATATACATACGTAAGGTACATACGTTGGCCCTAAAAAGAAATATATAGGCTATCTTTAAAAATAATGCAACTGAAATCCGCTCGGCAGCTAACTGTAAAGAGTCATAAAGGGATTTGTTTCAGAGTCTAATCAGATATTTCTAGGTTTAAACTGCCTTTCTTGATGCTTACGGAAAGAATACAAAATCTTAAAACTTAATAGCATTTGTTTTAAATAAAGCATGAGCATAAATCATGAACAGTTTTAAGCTCTTATTACATCTGAACAGAATGGAGATCAAAAGGTTCAAATTAAAAGTTTCTATATTGAAGTGGAAACCTTTGTAAGATGCTAAAATAAATAAAATATTTTATATCCGTAGAGTGTAAATCTAGAAAAGATGAGGACAAGTGGTCGCCAAAGATCGAGTGTATTATTCGAAACATGACATCGCATACATCACTAAGTTGAAGGGCTTTGATCTGGGAGCACTACCGTGACCCCGCCAAGAAAAGCCAAGCGAGGTTATGTTTTCATGCGACAACGTTTGTATTTAGGTTGTTGTAAATAAAATATGGTATAACTTGGGTTGATTAGTTTATCAGTGTGTTACAGATGAACAAGGACAAGGACGTTGTGTGGCCATAGTGCAATCCATGTTAGTCACGCGACATATTAATCTACTAAATATATATTATGTAATGTACGCTGTCTTCCATAATACAGGCATTAGCCTAGTATGAAATACCGTTTCAGTATGTTCTGTGATCCATTCTGTTTGATTTTAAGAGGTATACATTTTATGTGTAATGTACTTGAGCCAAATAATCATTTTCATTTCATTTTATTTTTAGTGATATTATAACAACATACATCACTAAGCTGAAAGGCTTTGATCTGGAGGCACTACCGTGCTCCCGCCAAGACCCGCCAAGCGAAGCGTAAGGGCACTACCTACCTTTTCTCGAAGAACTTGCTGTGCTATTGGACCCTCCTAACTTGGGTTTGGATTATACCAGATAAATAAAATTCTCGGAATATGATTTCAATGGTGGACTTATTAAACATAGAAAGTTTCAATTGCATAATTCTTATACTTTAGATTTAATTATTATCTAAGGAATTCCGATTTCGTCACTCACTGATGATCATCAAAATTCTTAGGATACTTCCTGAAGTCCTAGAAAGCTGAAATTTGGTATGTGAGCTAGTATTAGCACACAAACAACAAAAAATGAATAACTTGGAACGTTTAACCCTGCTTCCCCCCATCCTTAAACTAGGGGATGGAAGTTTGTATGAAACTTCCATAAATTTTGATGCTAGAGATCTGCAATTTGATAAACGGACTGCTCGTTATGAATATCATACAAAACATGTTTTGATTTAAAATTGAGGTAGCATACAATGATATTTCTCGAAATATCATATTTCCTACAATAGCTAAAAGCTACGAAACTATTGCAACGAAAGACAACTGTTATTTGCCTTGACCCATAATAAGCAAATTTAATGAAAATCGAAGATAAAAGACATAAAGAATAGATTCATGTGTAACTGTAGACCGTGTTCAAACATCCGATCAAGGAAGAGGTTTACCTTCAGACTGCTTGGCGGCGAGGCGAGATATACGTCCAACGTGCTTTTAATCAAGATAAACGAATTAGCTGGCACTGGGCCACGATATAACTAGTTCGATTAACATGCACTCTATAACTGGTGTTATCATTCTAATTTTATAGCATATGATTGTGTAGACCTACTAAATAATTGGTAGTAATTATAAGTCGTAGAGGGCATTTTAATTGCGTCATTAAAGAAATCTAACGAAAAAGGTTTAAAAAGTATAATGCTTGATGGACATTTTTGTATCTAAAAAAAGACTGAAATACGAGTATATTAAGAGTATTGACTCTAAATTAAAATAGATAGATATTTAGTCGTACGGCAGTCAGTAGTACACCATGGATTATCAAAGCCAGAATTCTGATGAGGAACAATAATGAAGCAGAAAAATAAAGGTATTTTACTTGGTAGTCACATATTTTACTTTGACTAATTGAAATTTAATTCACGGCATTCAAGCATTTGTCACAAACAATAAGAAAGTCAACCCTGTTGAAAATAATTCCTAAGAATTAATTATTTTACAATATTGTGGTAAATATGTATTATATTCAGGTATGCAACATTAGAACCGTGTCAAGATACCTACATTAACATATAATACACGTGATCTCCAAGTTTTTTTTGGCATAAAGCCACATTTCAGCGTAACTCATCTGAACTATTCTTGCGGTCATAATCATTAGGAATAAAAATATCATTAGATTTATTAATATTTATCAATACTATTTTATCTGCAAACTAGATAAATAGAGCAAGAACGCGATTTTTACAATGTGGAATTTAGCCGAGGCCCGAGAATACCGCTGTGCAAGTGAATCGAAGCGGTATAAGAGCCTATCTATATCATGGTTCGCCAGGCATGTCCTTGATAGGAATAATCCCTCTTCGGAGAATATTATTTGTCTAAATGGTATTCATAGTCGGATGGTGGAGCCGGTTTTTTGCTTTTTCAACTTTTCCTACTTTGTTTAATGTTCTCCTCACAAAATTGATTTGCTTTACTTGAAACTTGTGACATCCATTACAAATATGTTGTGAAAAACACCCGACAGGCTTAGATGTGATGGTTGCCAAATTGATGACAAATGAAATTGTTCATTATCCAGTTAGCAGACGCAAAGTGTGATAATAACGACTCTCGTAGGATATTCAACCGAGTATTGGCAATACGCCACTGGCCCGTGAATATGACACGGCGGGTGAAGAACTCTCTGTGCGGTTCATTAACCAATAGAATGCCAACATCACACCACACGCTCCGACACCCAGCGCTTTGATATAGATAACACGTCCAGTAATACAGCTAACCATTCAAATTTATTACAATCGTTCCGTATTATCAACTCAACGATCTAAATTGTAAAGCCAAAATATTGCTATAGAACGCCTCCTGTTTCTTGTGTTGTCTCTTGGTTCTTGTTTTTTTTTCTGATTGGATACATTTCGGTCGTCTCATAAATTTACTACCTACTAAGTTTGCGGGTAGACAGCCAAACTTAACAGCACTTTTTTGTACGACTCTTTAGAAAGAACTTTCTTGCGTCTACCACTCACGAAAGTAATCATATTTATTAAATGTATACAATTTTTTTCACGCGTTTATATCGGAGATAGCCAATTAGTATCGAAAACGACCCTTTTTTGGCGAGTGGAGTTATTTCCCGCGTATAAGGCGCCACACTAAAAAGTGCATTGCGTATGATGTGAAGAAATATACAAGTGGGTAAAATCTCATATCTTTAATTAATATTCTTTTTAATTTTTATTTAATAAGTGGTTGAATATTTCATTTGTAATTGTATCACAATGGAACGTTCTATGAAATTTGCTCTTTTTATATGTATTAATAAGGAAGAGAATTATTTGTACCTACGGAACGCTAATTTTTTTAACAATGCGCTATAAATTCAAAAATAATTGCTACAAAAAGCTGCATAGATCCATATATAAGTATGCTTACACTGTTAAGTGGCCTATCATGGTGAAATCTACGCTAGAAGAATTCCCATTCCCATAGAAAACTAAACATTAAAAGTTAATTAAATTCGACCACCAGCGATCCGATCTCTCATAACAATGAATTATTGTAAAAATGTTATAGCTATAATTCTCACTCACTCAAAATTCAATAGGTCTTTAGTAAAATGTCAGGCATGCATAATATTCATGAGATAAAATAGACAGTTTTTTTAACAGATTTTAAAGTGACATTGAAAAGTATTATTCGCGATGCCTGACAACACGTTATACAATATGTACAGACAAAAACATGTCACACAACATTCCATATGTAATCCCATAACAATCCAACTGTTAGACTCACATTTTATTTTGTTTTAAAGAAACAACATAGTTTTGAGTATAAAATGTTGCCACGGAATAAATATAGGTACAGCTGTAAAGTATGTTTAATATCATGTGTAATTTGAAAGTCAAAATAAAAATAGGGCGGAGATAACGATTAGAAACCTCAGTATTCTTTTCGTTTATTATACAAAAAAATAACTATTTATCTAAACTGCTGTTTACGTCATTAAACTACAAACATGTCGAATATGATACATTGTAATTAAATTTATTTTTCATTACAATGGCATTAAATTTGATTCTGATACTATTATCTAGTCTGTAACATTATTAAAAGTTAAGTAAGAGTATGTTGCCAAGACTTAAAAATGAAGATAAAAAGACAGAGTAAATTATTGAAAATCTAAAACACTTTTTTTTCAATACCTTTGATTTGTTTTTAGAATACCTTTAACTATTTGTTTGCGCATAATATAAATACATTGATCTGTTTATAGCATTATAGCTGAATAAATCTATACTGCCTGTCTGTTACCTCTTCAAGCTTAAACCGCTGAACCGTTTTAGATGAAATTTGGTATAGAAATAGTTTGAGTGCCGAGAAAGAACATAGGATAGTTTTTATCCCATAAAGTTTGTATAGGGATCAATAACAGCTGAACCAATTTGGATAAAATTTGGTAAGGAGATATTTTGATTCTTGAGGAAGGACATAATCTACTTTTTACCACGATAACCGTAACAACTAACAACCGCAACATACACGCGGGCGGAGCCGCGGCCAACAGCTAGTACTTTATAATTGATTGAACTCTTTCTAACCAGGTAACCCATTGTATACCGTTTTTTATTATTTTTATTTACCTGCCTTTAATAAGTCTATGCAAGCCAAGCTGTAATAAAACCTATTTTGAATATCATATTTTTGCAAAATAA